TTTCCGACACTGGAGGCGGGTTGGGCGTCCGCGCGGGATTCCTCCCGGCCGGAGGCGACCCCGCCCGCCGAGGCCCCGCCGAAGCCGCTCCTCAAGAGGAGCGCGTCGATGAACTCCGTGGTGAGCTCGGCCTCCAGGATGGGGGAGAGTAGCTGTGATAGTGGTCCGGGGGTGAACCCTGCCACCAGCAGGCAGTCCCTGCCGAGGGGTTACGGTGGGCCCATGCTGGCGCCGGGCGCCGGGGGCGGCGAGGAGCTGGTCGTGGTCGACCCGAAGGCCTCCCTGAGAAGGCTCTACGCGGCGATAGAGGGGCGGGGCATGGTGGCCATCAAGCGCAACCCTAACGGGAAGGGGCGGTCGAGGGTCATGGTGAGGTCCAAGATCAAGGAGAACAGCATCGGATGGGCGCACGTCCTGCCCCCCTTCACGAGAAAGTTTGTGAACGTGAAGGACCTCGCGGGGGCGCAGCGGTCCTCCCGCATGGTGACGGTGAACTTCAGGAATCGCGAACCGGTGAGCGAACGAGGGGAAGGGAAGGGAAGGGAAGGGAAGACGTTGGTGGGGGCTATTCTGGTTGTCTCTGACCTGTCTAACTCTGGGTGTTGTGTTGTTGTCGAACGCTTGCGGTGTTGGCCTCGTCTCGCCTTGTCGGCTGCCTTTTTTATTTTCTAGGTGTTGTTGAGTTTTGTTCATGTCTGCAAGGGATGCGTTCGTTCTTGGTGTATCGTCATTTTTCTTCGTGCGTCAAGACGAGCTATATGTTCCATGTTTTGGTCATGTCGGCACGCCGGCGGCATATATGATGGTGGCAGTAGTAATGTAGCAGTGTGTCGGAAGGTTTCATGTACCTTTTTTTTTTTTTTGACGACACAAGCGTGGCTGGCCCTATGGAGGGCGCCTCGACGTTTGCCTTACTCAAAAACCGATCCTTTACTGAACAATTTCAATATTAATATATTTGGCCAAGTGTTGATTATACAGAGTTTTCGACGGCACTTGTGGGGTTGCACGAGCATGTTGTTCCGGGGGTTTGATGGGTATAGCTGCCATCCTACAAAAGCTGCCATGTTTGGGTTTGACTGCGATCATACTAACTTGCCTCTTCCTGTAGTTGTTGCTGACCTTGCTCGCGGCCCATGTGTGTGCGTTTATTTTGTTTCGTTGACTACCGTTGACCACGCTACCCGACTGACCAATGAAAATGACTCAGGTCTCCTTCCTCTTGCCTGCCTTTGCGAACGTCATCCAGGTGATGTTCGAGACCGACAAGCTCACGGACGCTCTTATCCTGGAGCAGGGTTTCGTCTCTCTGGCTACCCTCCAGAAACAGAGTCTATAAGAATGCGCTCGTCGTTATGGGCAACCTCCTGGCTGGAAGGGGCTGATGTCTGAGAGGAACTCTGCCGATATCTCAGTTTTTACTACTATTGTGTTTGCATAAAGAAACCGTGGTAGATAGCGCGGTGGTGGCAGCGCGGGCAGGGGCGATAGGAGCGTGTTGGTGGTGGTGGGGGGGGGGGGGGGAGGGTCAGAGTGGAGCACTCACGGAGCCCCTACCACAAGGACTGGTACTTTCTTCCAGCCTCCTACTACTTCGGGGGTGCATGTGACTCGCGCACGATGTGATACGCCTGGCGTTCGAGTATTGCGTGTGTCTCGTCCTTTGGGCTTGGCTCGGGTTTATGTGCATGCCTCTATGCTCTTTTGTTCCGTGTCTTTAGATTCCAAGAGAGGGTATCGCGCAATACACCAGACCTGCTCTACAGATCTACTAGCGCATGGCCGCCGTATTGTTTTAGTGATGCGGTACATGGGCCTTTAGAGTGACTGGTATTATTTCTTGCTCCTTGCTTTGCAACGGGTCTATATAGGCTCTCAACTCGAACGCCAGAAAAACGTTTGTTTTAGAAAAATATGGCAATTTCTGTGGGAGATGTGTGCCACGTCTACTTGGCAGCGCGTGTGCCTACCTAGAGCATGTGGGCATGTTGGTCGAGGCATTTGGTAGAGAGAGAGGCATGAGGTGGGAGTGATTCCCTGCCCAGCTGGCTGTGGAAATCCGGAAAAGAAACGCGAGCTTGATTGCTCGTCAACGTTTCGGGTTTCGAATGACACGGGCAGGTGGTAGGAGTTTTGTGGGCTGTGAATGATACGGATACAGGCAGTGTTGTCGTTCTTGCATTTCTAATCGTGCGTGTCGCCGTATTCAGTTCAGTAAAGCTAACCCGGCTCGTTCCTTTGTCGAGACCGGAGCGATGGATGTTTTGTGCTTTCTCAGTCTCTTTAGAGTAGCTCGCGCAGCGTGTGTTTGACCCACCGCTCGCCGATGTTTTTTGCTGTCTTGTGTAGTACTGTAGTGGCTCGCTCTCTCGAGCGTCGCCTTCGGACCACTCGCGCACCTCACCTGGGCCTGTCGCGTTCCGCCTCCGTGTTCTTCGATTGCTGATTGATTGATGTGTCGAGTTTTTCCGTGCATCCATGCCTGGCTTGAAGCGAACCGAAGATCGAAGGGGGCGTCCATCTGAAAATATCCATGTTTTTTATCCGTGCCGCCGCGGTCGTGAGCGATGACAGGGTCTCGGCGAGAAGTTTTGTTGGTGAACCGATGGTTTACATGACGCCAAAGGCGTACCTGGGTTTCACGTAAATATTACGCAAAAATAACAGTAACAGACATGCGTCCAGGGAGGAAGAACGAGAGAACAGGCGCAAGGTCGCGATATTGTACAGCAGGTTTCCGTTGTCACGCCGGCTCTCTCTGTGATATCTTGTGAGTCTTTGTGTTGTTTGGTGTCGTTTTTTATTCCTTCTTTCTTTCTTTCTTCTTTTCGGTTATGGTTTTGTCTGTGGTTAGGGAAGGCATTCGTGTGGAGTTGTGGCAGCAAACGCAGCTCTTGCTGCGCAGCTCATACCCGCGAGGCGCGCTTGCATTTAAGGCACATCGTGGCCATGATCGCTGTGTATGCCGTGAGAGTCTATTAAAGTAGGTCCCGGTCTAAGCATCTGATCGAGGTGGACGGAGAGCGAATACGAGAGACGGGAGGCACGTTTTTGCCTATTGACATTTTATTGGATGATTCACGTTGTTAATAATTCGAGGCACATGACCTCTGTTTTCGCGGCTGCTCTTTGTACCGTAGGGCAAATAGAAGTAAAATGTCGGCGTATGACTTCAACAACACAGGTCATGCGTGTGAGGTTGTACCCGCTTGGGGTGAGTCGTGCTGGCGTTACATGCATGCACACGTGCAGTCTGGGGATCGCAGGAGGTGGGGGGTTGGAAGAGAGACTTTTGTTTTTGTTTTTTGTTTTCTGTGGACGGTACAGTAGTGTGTCTGCTTTTATTCTTTTTCCCCTGTGATCTAGGAGACGCGCTCCACCAGCTTTCTCTTTTTTTCACGTACTCCATGTTTCTCTTGGTTCCCTTGGCGTATACTACTTCGTCGATCCCCTCAAGGTTTGCGGTCCGGTCGACAACCGATCGGTCGTGGAGTTCTTGCGGGAGGTATGTATCTAGCGTAAGCCAACTAGAGTTTCTTTCATTTCCACATGATCTGCTTGGTGCTTGTTGTGTGTCTCCGCTTTCGATCGCGCGTGTCTCACGTTCTTGAGGGTCTGTTTGTCTACCAAAAAAAAACTAATCTATAAACGCTCAAGTTCGTTCGTTGTGATGTTTTTTCGTTATACACTAAGAATAAGAGAGCTCCCGGAGTGTAGAGTGTTGCATGGAGGTGTTGCGTCATCGAGATTGATGCAGAGCTTGCTTGTTGTGCTGGTGCTGGTTTTCGCCCATCATTCAATCCAATCCAGCTCAGTCCAGGGAAGTGATGTGGGTCGGAACAACTGCTAGCAGTTTGTCGTGTGTTGTTTCGACCATATTGTACTATACATCTCAACGTTGACGTAGATATGGATGGTGTACGCGTGAAGGGAGTGTATTCTAGATCATGTCATTTGTCCGTGTCTTTGCCTGGTCTTTTGTCTTGTCTTTGTTTGGTCCTGGGTCATTTCGGGGAAACCACAGCAGCAGTTACAGTAGTACAGTAGCAGTATGATGGGAGTTTTTTGTTTCATTTCGGAACAGGTGATCAAAGCAGAAGCATTTGTTTATTTATGGATAAATATATTCGGATGGTTGGAGCGACAAGAGCTCATGTTGTGTTTCGGAGGGAGAGGGTGGCTTTGCGCCGACCGGTGACCACACAACCTCAAGTTATACTTGAATATATCATTGGTAGATATATGCATCAGTGTAGCAGGGGCGAGAAGACGTCATGGGATGATGGGTCAGCTGCCTTGATCTATGAATGCATGCGTTCTCTGAACACGTACGTGCATATGTATGATCTTTGCACCGAGCCTCTGGTTGTCTGTGCAATCTAGACTACATATTAATGATAAACTATCGCTTCTTCCACGGCGAAGAGACGGATGGAAGGACGCTTCGCTGAACCGTCTCTTGCGATGGCGTCGCGGAAACCGTTCGCTACCGTTCCACGCACGCGCGCGTTGGTTTTTTGCTGCATGGCTTATTGTTCGTTCACCAGGCGACACCAGTCAATCGTTGCCTGCCGTCATGCGGTGCACGGGCGCACGTTTTTTTCTTTCATAAGTTGTCATCAAGCACGGTCATCGATGGTGCACATGACGATCCCATCAGACCCCCTTCAATGACGCACGCACCCACGTCGGCAGTATCCGCCAGGTGCTAATAATGTGCACTTTCCTCACTACCCCCGCCCACCCTCCTGCCGTGCTCGCGTTCCATTTTGATCACCACAAAAATTATGGATAGGTCTACTACTGTACAAATATCATGTAGACTCACACATCGGTCATTATGTTTGACTGGCATGGCATGGAGCGTACCAACCTATCTATCTAGGTGAATCGAGCAGTTTTTTATTGTTTTCTTTTGCTGCGTTATTTGCGATGAAGGCAAGGAAGGGGGGAAGAGAGAGACTAAGACGAGACTGGAAGTCTCAAGCGGCCAGCTGTCGGACGGATCAAGGCATTTACAAGGTACAGGGCTGGTATAGGTAATCTAGGCAACCAGCCTGAGGTTATGTATGACAACAATGTCAGCGCACATTCGGTGGCAGGC